TTCAAAGCAAGAAAATGGCTTAGTGAATAGCTTTCATATGTACATTCACCGTATTCATGTTTTATGGTCCACCAAATATTATGTTGATCAGCCGCACAATTTTTAATGAGTGAAGAGTGTGCGTGACTCAGATCAAAAATCAGAGAAAAGGCGCAAAGTCACGCATGATGACAAGGCACTTATCTTTGCAGTTTATTTCCGCATTTCTGGCATGAATCCACAGCGCTTGGGGAGTTTTCCGTGCTAGATCTTATGTTACTTTGCAAGGTCATTCACTCCTATTCCATATCTGGTTCGTTATGTGTCTCTGCCATATGCGCGCCTAACGAAATGTTTGGTTTAATATAGTTCTAAGTTTACCGGTTAGGTGTTCTTATATACGAAGACAGAGCGATCTTCCCGTATCGCCCATGTATTCGTCCGGCACGCTTCACAAGTGATTAGGTGAACTGTACTTGAATGCTCGTGCAATCAGCGTTTCCATGTACGCACACACATAGCAAAGATTTTGAGATGGAAGTAATATCCTTTGACAAAGTTTTATAGGCGAGAAATTCTCGGACGCTTTGGATTTGAGCTAAAAATGCGGGTATGAGTTGTAAAGTTGAGTGCCTCGTCATTACGCGTGACTTTTCGCCATTTTTCATATGTATTTTTCAAGCCACGCACATTCCTCACCTTGCTAAACTCTGCTCGACTGGTCTACATATTTGGAGGACCATTAAACAATAAACGGTGAGTGTATATAAATGAAGCTATTCACTACCTGATTTAATACCTATATACTAAGTTCTATCTTTTTGGTTACGAAAATATTTGGTTGAGTAGATTGCATGTCAATGCGACTCTTCCAAGGTCTCAAGAAGGCGAAAGCTCCAGAACGTCAGTTATTGTTCTGCTACTGCGCTGTCCTACTGCTGTAATCAATAAGTTCTGTTATTATTAACTTTGGTACTGCCTATGAAGGGTAAAAACTGAATTATTCAATCAGTGCCGAAATTAGTTGATCTTGGGAACTATGCTATGATCTTTACCCGCGATCCCTAGTAACTTTTCCAATACAGAAAACGCTTCGCCTCGGAGGTACACTGGAACAGGATATGTATCTGTATAATTTGAGAATAGGTGAAATGAAAAAGAATTATGTAAAGGACCCTGCTGATGACAATAAGCACAGAAAATGTGCCGCCATGGAAAAATTTGCTCTGAAAAGTTTGCTTCCTCTCATTAAAGTTTTGGTATCATGATAGACAGTCAAAAGAGTCATCCTCACGCAGTTATGTGTGCCGAAAAGAAAACCATTTTCGCAGAAATCTATCTCTTCATTTTTTTATTTATTGAGGAACGACTATGCTCGCTGTCTCTCAACTGTTTCAGTCGATCCCACAGCTTCTTAAGCGGAGAATATGAAAACTGTTCACTGGCTAATCTCCATTTACCATATTTTATAGCATGCTGATGATAATTATTAGGTTGTATCATGACTTCCTTTGCACTCTGACCCGTTTGTTAGTACAACTGGTAATTAAGCGCTATTTTAAAAGACGAAAACAGATGAAGAAATGAAGAAGCAAACTCTTTTGCTAGACAAGAAACTCTGATAAGAGAGTTATAGGTCGTTAAAAATGTGCAAATATTGGTGCGGTAAAAAAACAATTGTTGATGTGCTGTATAAGAATGACCATACAGTAAAAAAATCGATACTTATTCAACTGTTCTTTGTCCATGCCACTAATCGGTTGTGGATTTGTGTGCGGACGTCTCCACACGAAAGAAAATTTAGAAATCCAAAAAAAATTAGAAATCAAAGAGCACCGGCCCACATGCAGATAGTATAATGTTTTCTCCTCGTCAGAGAGTTTTGGAAAACTTTTGCTAACTGTGAGTACAACTGAAAATATTATTGGTAATTTCTCAAGATATTTATAATGTAATAGAGTTATGAGTTTTGCAAAGAACCCTCATTGTCTTTTTGACCATTGCGCAAGAAACTTTATTTTTTATAATTTCTATTTCCATTTCTAATTTTTGAATAATTTCATTTCCTCACTGAAGTCATCTTGGCGACTTCCATCACAATCTCCTCAACAAAGACAAGGGACTGTAAACAATCAGAAATGAATTATTATAGCTCAAGAGAAAACAAAGCTTGCAGTTCGGCCCATTCCCACGCAGCTTTTATCATTACGCCCTATGTCTCTTACACGGTAGTGGTTGGAGGTGGACTGCATTGGATACGTGGTCGTTAGTACGGTACCGCACTACCGACTAATGGAGACCATGATCTTTTTGAAGTCTATAAATTGGAACCGTATCTGTTTTAAATGATACATGCTCTTTCCTAACCCATCACTGAGCACCTGACAAGTTTGGTGTATCCATATACAACGCTACTGGTAGATTAGAAGCACAACCCATGAGATTATTTGAGATTGACCTCATATTTTAGGCTCGAACAGCTAGCTCTAAGCTGTTCTTACACGCCGTTTGAATACGCCTCGTATTTTAACTCATTTACAAGGACAAAATGATAGATTGAAATAAATTGAAAAAAAATTCAAACTGATTTTCTTTGTCCACTCCAGTGTTATCGTTCCTCTAATGCCGTTGTAAATATTTTTGCTATATTCCGTAGCTTTCAATGTGAGCGAATTTCAATGGTTGTTCTACAGGTTCACAAAAAAACTTCGTTTTTGAAAAATCAATATGGAAACAAATGTTAGAGTACTGAAGGAAACTGTTTATGCTTATTTAATCGAAGGTATGGTATTGGATTTATGGAAAAAAATCGCTTCAAGGAGAAACTTGCAATGTTTTCTGATCTCTGGTTATTGCAGGTTCCATCGCTGTGATCCTTAATACTCCATTAGCCTTAACGATGATTCTGGTCAAATCATTGAGATCACGGCGAGAATTCCAAGGTATTTCATTATTTCCTTTTGATTATATAGTTTGAAGAAAAAAATTCTTATAATCAACTGATTGTGCATAGTGAACTATATGAACGCAGCATTAAGGTAGCTCATCTACGGTTTTTTCTCCACTCGTCTATGAGAGGTGCTTGCTTCTGAGACGATCTAACCATACATTAACGATTATCTTTAGTCGTACAGGTAGTACGGAGCGGTAGCAACGAGATGGCCGGGAGCTTTTGAGGCTAATAGCTGATTGTTGCCGTCGATGACATCAGTGACATGCCTAATAACGAGTTAGGCTCTGCAGACGGCATAGTTGGAAAGACAAAATTCAGTTCTGTGGCACAAAAATATTCATGTCGCAAAAAAGTTTTTGACAATGGCTGTTAAGAAAAATCGAGCTTGTGGAAGATACTGCATTAGCGATAACAAAACAGTGACCAGGAAATACATCACTTATGTCCTTTTGAATCAGAACAAGAACAGGAGTCTAGTATGAAACCAAAGTCGGGTGGGCATAATACAGAAGCATTCATAGAAGGTACTGCGTAGATAAAATAACAGCATTTTCAATGTGATTTATGTTCCACACAGAACGCAATATCAGAAGTGATCGCATCATGGAAAACAACTACTGAGCTTAAGATGAAGAATTAATGATTGAATAAGCATCACAACAGACCATCAAGTTCCAAGATTGAATAAGCAAAAAATTGCCTTCAGTTTAAGAGCTTCGCTGCCAATAAAAAAGATAAGGTGACATAACATCATATTGTTACTGCCATTGGATGATCACGCATCTCTGTCCACGACTAGAGATGGTACAGACCTCGTCGGAAGGTGCCATCCGATTCGATCTTTTGCGAAGCCTAACTACATATTTTTGTGATTACAAATCGATCTATGGAAAAAGTTTAAAAACAGAAATGGTAGTGTATTCAAAAAATTTAAGAATTGCGCACCTTATTAGTTTTCATTTCAAAGATATGAACATAGTGAAGCAAGGAAGAATCCAAAAAAAAATGTGATTCAAGTGATTACTGCACTTGCCGTCACTGATCTCGCATTTGGAATGGGATTCATTTTGAGTGGAATACATCGTTATGCGGAAATATGGAATCTTGGCGAGCACGGTGATATATTTATTCATTTATCAATAGGTAGAAGTCAATCGATATAAATAGGAGACTATTCAAATAAGATAATTTAGGTATGGTATTCATTGAGCGTTCAGAGTGTAATAGAAAATTTGAAGTGCACTTACTGACGATCTCCTATCAAATACAGGTGATAAATGCCTAAGTTTTTCTTTCTGCCTCATCTATCTGAGGCCTTTTCTGGTGGATCCATTTTGCGTCATAATATCTCATATGGTTCAGTTGTTCCTTATTCATGAATGGAAATACACGCATACTAGACTCCATGCCATATATTGAAATTCTTTGAATTTAAAAATGTTTATATCAAAAGCTTCATTGATTTTCAGGACAGTACCTCTTAGAAAGTATTGATGATGCACTGAACTGTTCCGAGTACAAATTTCTATGAAATCTATTATTTAAGGGAATATTGTCACTGGTAGTTGCATTTGATCGCTTATTGGCAATATCAATTCCACTCAAATACATGAATTTTGATAAAAGGTATAACTGTGGCATTATTGGAAGTAAGTGAATCTCTATCGTTTATCTTTTTTGTTCTGATTCCTTCACTATCTCTGCTTTTTTCATTGTCCCTTCTGCAAACATATAGTATGCCTGCTCAGGTGAATCTTGAGTGTACTCTCTTCATAATGAACATTTGGAGTAAAAAGATTCGGAGCGGTCATTTCTTCGTTTCCAGAATCTTTTTCATGGCGCATCGATTTATGAAGTCAATATAGAGTTGAAAAAGCAGTTTTGGGGAATTTTTCAAGATTTTGCTCCTATGTGCAAATTAAGAAAAAACAACAGCAATAGCTTTTTTGGATCGCTTAAACCATCTGCTCGCAGTCGATTTTGCCGCCGTGCCACCACGTTCACCCTCATAAATCTTATCTGCAACTTTAAGAGTCGTCAAATATACCCAGTGATGTGCAAGAACTTTTGCGTCAGCTGGGATTCAAACCCACATTTCACTCTATTCGGGGACGCGTGCTCAACCGCTGCACTACTACCGACGCCCGTTTTGGCACCACTCTCTTTACGCTGCAACGCGTCTGTCAGCAATCAACTATCAACGATCTGGAGTGGGTAGTCACAATAAACCTTGAATCCCCTTATGCTGGCAGATATTGGGTATTGATGATCAGACAGAATTATTTTTATTTAACCGACATTTAGCAAAATGGGCGTTGGTAGTGCAACGGTTGAGCACGCGCCCCCGGATAGGGCGAGATTTGGGTGCGAATCCCATCTGACATAAAAATTTTTGCACATCACTCTATATCACTGGGTATATTGAAACATGATACTACTGCTAAAACGGTCAAATATAAACAATTCTGATGTAGAGTGGTGTGCAAAAACGCTTACGTCAGCCGGTATCACGCAAGTGTTTTTGCACACCGCACTACATCATCATTGGGTCCATAGTAACATCATAACACCGCAAGGCGGTCAAATAAAATTATTTCGGATAAACAGTTTTGTTTGATCGCCAAATCTTGTCTTTAGGAATGGTGGATCAATATGCGCAAATGAGACTGCTCAATAGGCTTTTTATCAGTAAAACAAACATCTCGAAGATGTTAAAAAAAACGACATTTTTGAAAATTTCCCAAAACTTTTTGCTCAATCTAACATTCTTCCTTCTAGACGTGTGTGTTAACAACTTACCCATCTTGATAAAAAGACGAGTGCACTTAGGTGATTTGGAGCACAAGATGGAACCATTGATCATGAAGGATAATGCAATAATAGCATACACGATAGCAACAATTGAAGATGTACTACCTCGCGTTAAGTTTACTCTTAGCTGAGCCATCCGCGAAATGCTCAATTTCACTACTGAGTCGAAGATTATTAGAGATAAAAAACCGCATGTCAAAATAGTTGGTCATTAAAGGCTGCAAATTTTCAATATATCTTATAATTGAGAGCATGTGGTGCAGTGGTTAGAGGTGCTCTGCGTCTCACACGGGGTCAATGATTCGAACTCGCGCTCATGGCTCACCAAGCTATTCATCCCTCCGAGTTCGGTAAATTGGTACCAGACTGGTCCCAGACTTGTCTGGGAGGATAAGCAGCACTGACTCAGTTCAGCGGGCGGCCACCGCGACTCATGGTAAAGGCCAGATATGCTATTAATCACCTCTAAAGAAGTTAAAAATTGAACAGAATTTACGGCGATCCTCAGGGATTGATCAACGTCGAGAGCCTTTCTAGCTTTTTGTCTTATAATTATCATTTGAGCCATGTAGTCTTTTATGTGCACTTGTGAAGTCATGTGTGGTGTCATGTGGTCTATTATGAGCACTTGTGAAGCCCGATACACGTGTTTTGTCTTTAGCAGCTTCGTCAGTCGGGCAGGTCCTTAGTCTTGAGACAATCTTCTCTCGAGAACCCGTACCCTTTTACACGTAGAATAGGCGACAACGTACAATTTACTTGTTCCATCAAGTGAAATAAATCACTATAGCGGCAATGTTGTGCACTCCTCTTGGCTGGTAATTTTGAATTTATACCGTTCGTTTCAAGTGTTTTCTTAAGACTACGCTCAAATACTATCTATTCAGTTGTATCGAAATCTTAGCGTGGTCTCAAGGAAGCACTCGAAACGAGCAGTTAAAAAGTTCATAATTAGATAGATCATAAAAAGAAAACTAGACTTTTATGAGAAAATTCACTCTCTGCAGCCAAGTGGGATTACTCTGGGCTGTCTATTTCAAGATTAGTAGCAGTCAAACCCAGACGCAGTAATTTTGGAAGAACATAGATGATAGACACGAAAGGTCGAGCCAAGTGGAATAAGTGATAGCTTTTCCGTGTTAAATATAAAGGACAAGTTGTGTAGAATTAGTATAATAATGCGCTGCCCTACAACTTCTTTGACACTATTGTTGTATTCATTTTTTTTCTATTTCAAATCGGGTTATTGCTAAAAGGCGATATGAACCAAACATTTGGATATGGTTGTAGTATCATCATTCACCATGCAAATGGAATGGCCATCCACTAAGTGGTCTCTAAATAGACATCTTATGCGTTAACCAACCACGACCGTAGTATTCCGCTGTGACGGCGCAAGTAGAACTCTTTCAGGTACGAGAACTACACACGTCACGTCTTTTGGCTGCCAAAAAACCAGCCACTTCAACCAAAATCCAAGTTTCATGCTCGAAAGATTGTGTTCTCGGTTTTCTGGGATTGGCAGGGCATGCCGTAATGGGAACTGCTCGAAAACAGACAACCAATACCGATACCCACGGTGAACAACTCCGAAAGTTGATCGCAATCAGTGCGAGGGAAGCGTTCAAACGACTCAGTGTCGTCCTTCGCCAGGACAGGATCGATCTCAGATTGCAAAGTCAACTCGCCACATTTTGAAGAAGCAGTGCTTGACCACGCACCTCATCCACTGTATAGCCTGATATTGCCCGAATTACCGTCTCTTCCGCACCCTGAAGCAGCATCCGCGGAAGGAAAAATTCAGAAACTACAGCCAGCTCAGAAATGACCTCCCCGACCACTTTGATCACCAGCCTCTTTTTTTTCTGAAGAGACCTCATCCATTCTCTATCCAGAAAATGGTTTCATCATTTGGTCATGGTGACGATTTCATTGTTAATCGTTTTTTTCCAATTAAATAACAATTGAATCAGTAAAAGTGCCGAGTTGAGAAAGGAATCGTGGGACAGCACAATAATTAAGATAAATTAATGCTTTTTCATTCGATCGCCTTTCTACAGAGCTAGCTCAAGCAATAATAATCTCATAAAGATGTAACATGTTTTGAGCCCTGCCTAAGTGCTATAGAGGCGCCTGTTTCGTCCTACCGGGACTCATCACTAGCACCGTCCTCGGTTCAGCCTATCCTTGTGGGAAAGCCACAAGTTCGACTGCCGATCACCACAATGTCAGTGAATTCCATCATCTGACTGGTGGTGATTTATTACTCGGTATCGATTCCTTCATAGAGGAGGATAACCTTAAGGGATCGGCTAAGCCGAGGAACGATATCACTGATGAGTACTGGTAGGATGAAACAGGCGCCTGTATAGCACTTAAGCATAGCTCAGAACATATTATATCCTTATCAGTGAATTAATGCTGCAAACTCTTTGGCGAAAAGAAAGAAAACGATCACTGTACTTAGCATTGTATCCAAATTACGAATGACTCCTCGAAATCATTAAACGCAATTCACTTCCTTAAAGATTTTTCAGTGAAGAACTTCAGAAAACGAGCGAATTGCACACATGTAGCATGGTAATTAGAGATGCCCTGCGAAACACACACGATTGCTAGCTTGATCATAAAGTCTAGATAAATTTTACGTTGGCACGGAGTTGGCAGTTTAGTACTTTCTAAGATAATAGAAAATACTGACTTGATACGATGTTACGAATGGTGACGGCCACATAGCGTTACTATAAGGAGTATCTCAATTCTTAAAGCTTTACCTTTTCTCCTTTTATTATAAGGATTTTCAAAGACAACCAGAAATGAAAAAGAGAATCTATCATTTACTGGGTGACAAACAACACAAACTTTCCGACAAAAGTGCACGAATCAAAGGCAAGTTGAAAAAAAACATGAGGTTTCTTTCCACTTACTGATTAAAATTCCAGTTCCGACTATGGTTGTACTGATTCCCAGTGTGGTGAACTTCGTTCTCACTATGAACGATCCAGCATTGGTCTCCAAGTTGTGTCTCACTTCTGAAGCCGTTTATCCAGGATTTCATTTATACGTATTACTCATGCGTATAGTTTGCATTCTATTGTCTGGCGTTATATACGTATTTATTATTTTACGCATGAGACAGGTATATTCAAATGAAGCTTTATTTTACAGTTATTATTGTTCGACTTCGCTTAGTTCAAAGATTTACTCCGTCAATAAACTTGTCGCTAACGAATTTTTAACGTCGCAATATCGACATCTGTGCACAGATTCTTTTTCTCTAAATCTCTGCTAAATTCCACACATTCTTGAGCATTTTATGCTACATTATTTGTCTAAAAAGTCCTCATCTTTCTTTGATTCATGATAAAAAACGTGATTCCCAGCTTTGGTGCTAGTTACCACATAGTTCTCACATATTCGTTGCAGCTCATGCATTCTATAATCCAGTGGATTCTTACTCAACTTTCATACGGGCCTAATATTGGGTGTGCAAGCATGACTCTGCCATTTTCCCTATAATAATAGTAAAAGTTAAGTATCCAAGTTTTTTTATTCTAAAGTGCGTTAGAAACACTACTTATTTATAAGCTTTTTACACGAAAAATATCCCGTATGATGAATTTCATAGGGTTTTGAAGATAACGATTTTTGCAGCTAAAAACGTCATCCCTTTCATATTTGCAATCAATTTGTAGTTTAAATCTGGTAATTCCAAGTAATAATCTGGCGCTGCAATGTTGGGAGAGTAAGAGGGGTAAAGTAGAACGTATTAAAACCTCGCTCTTTTATGACGTTTTCGATCGGCGTTTGCATCATTAAGTCAAGCATTATAACGCAGCAAATTGCGAACCGTCGTTTTCGTTTTCAATACGATTTTCGAAGAAAATGAATCACCTTTGTATCGTTTGATTGCGCATTGTCTTGCGAACATTTTGGCATAAATTTGCCTGTACTTGCTACGAGATAGCCCGCTCCAAGCTTGCTGCTTATCACCACATTAAACTTGGTGCGCCGCTTCATTAGCATTTTCCTCTATGTGCCATTCATGCACGAGTAGCAAACGAATCTGTCCCCACGACAGCTCCATTAACAAATGTAACTTAATTTTGTATTTTTTGTACGAAAAGGTAATTTGTATACCAAAACGTTTGCAAGAAAATGCGCAATGAACGATATCAAAATAAAGCAATTTCAATTACTTTTGGTTCATAACCCTGCAAAGTAAAGTTTCGCAAATGGAGTTTTCCAATACTCAGAAAACGTCATCTTCGAAGACCTATAAAAACCACCATCATATGAAATATCTTATGAATAATTCATATGAGTAGATAGCGCATCTATCACACTTCTGGACAAAAAAAAAAGAGCTTGCACATCTTTATTTCTACTATTATTACAGCAAAAAAAAAACAACGGAATCATGATTGCACATCTGATAATTTTCTTTCAAATTAGGGCAATTTCATCCCCGGAAACTTAGAGGTCATAGTAGACCGTTTACTTAACGCGCTGAGTCCTATGTTGATTTTTACGTGGCAGGAGGTGCGATCGTGCGGCAGTGCAGCGCGCTGCAA